TATATATATATATATTTTAATGTTAGAGATTTGTAAAGTGCATAAAAGTGTGAAAAGAAAACAGCTCAAAGTTGAATGAAACAAATAAGAGCTAAAAAGTGAGAGGACAGATCGGAAGATCGATTAAAAACCGCGCTAGCAACGCTAGACCAACACCACTAAAACACTAAACAAAAAGAGAAAATTGTAATTTTAGTCCAGTAACTTAGGCTGTTTCCCATTTTAGTCCACTAACTTAGGCCGATCCAAATTTGGTCCAAAAACTCTCAAAAGTTAGTCCAAAAACTTAGGTTGTTTCTCATTTTAGTCCACTAACTTAGGCCGATCCAAATTTGGTCCAAAAACTCTCAAATGTTAGTTAAATCAGTCCAATTTCAGTCCAATTGATTGGTCAATTTCAGTCCAATTTTAGTCCAATTTTAGTCCAATTGGACTGATTTAACTAACTTTTAGAAGTTTTTGGACCAAAATTGGATCGGCCTAAGTTAGTGGACTAAAATGGGAAACAACCTAAGTTGATGGACTACAATTGCAATTTTCTCAAACAAAAAAAAGAAAAAAAAAATGAAAAAAAAAACAACTGCAAAGCTCCAAATAAGGAGAATGACCAACCTTAAAAGGATAATACACACTCACACTCGACCTCACAGAGGCCGGCAACCCAAACCAAAAACACGGCTCCAAAGCAAACAACTAAACAAAAACCTAACCAATAACGAAAACGAACAACACCAAGACAAACTAATACTAACAGAACATATTTGAAAAAAAAAAAAAAAACTAACAAAACATAAACAAATAACAATAACAGAGCCCTTCCGACAGTAGAATAACCATGCCCAGCAGAATAAAGGGCGACCAACCCCCAAGGCTTGACCGGTCCAGAACACCGCTCTTGAAACTGTCGAAACGCCTAGCAGAAATTGAGTCCCGGGACCTCGAACCACTCCCAAGATGGAGTCGACCCAAAGCCGGACAACAATGGACAGACCCCGCCCACACACCACCACCTCGAACCCGACCATCACCACTGGCCTAGGTCTGAGAGTGTAGGTCTTCCCCATCATTCACACTAAAGGAGCAGGGAAACAAGGGGATCGAACCACGCCTCTTAACTCTGGCCAGCTCACCTCCGGCAACAGCGAGCGGCCAAGGCCACGCCCCACGACCGGAGACCAACATTTCCACGACCGGAGACCAAAGCACAGTGAGATCCGTCCGATGAGCGTCCTTCTTCCTCCACTAGCACGAATCACTTGGAAATAGCACAAACTAGGACAAGGGTATGCGGCAAAGGGCCATTCGTCGGCAAGAGGTCGAAAAACGCCGGAGAAGGCAAGAAGAGCTCAAATCGGTGACTTGAAGGAGTGTTAGGGCAAAAGAAAAAGAAATTATGAGAAAGTTGAGATTATGTTTGAATTTCTGAAAATCCCATTTCTTTTTTTTTTCTTTATACATGAATATCCAAGGGTTGTCACTCATAACATTCAATTTGAACTCAATAACAACCACTTAATCATTATTCATGTTCTCCCTCTAGAAGCTTGAGTTCCTTTCTGGGGATTTTTCAAACCGAATCTTTGAATTTGCGCTTAATGTCGCTATGATCAATGTTCCTCTTATGTTTCTTTGTGTTTTTGCTTAAGTTTATTTTATTTGCAATGTGTGAACTTTTTAACTTGTCTACTACCAGGTCCCTTTCTCTTTCCCCTAAACCTAGTTCTTTTGTCGTCGTCAATTTAAAGGGTTAGATTTTTCGATTCTCTCTCGGCGATAATGGAACAAGAAATTAAGAAAAGTCTAGGGATACTCGTTCTATCTAAGTAAAAAAAAGCTGCGAGTAACAATCTCAAAAGAACACATAACCATTGGTTTGAAAAAATGCTCCCTAAGCCTGGTCGAAAAAAAATTCGGTGAAAGGAAATCCAACTTTGGAGGCTTAAAAACTACAATGGAAGGATTCAAGCGAACCCATTATCTCTTTGCTATCAGAAATGTATGACACAACATTTTTCAATTTCTCATCAGATTCAAAGAGGATGGAAACAAAATCCTAGTTGAGAAAACTTGGACGTTTGAAGGACTGTATAGGTTGAGTTATGTGTCAAACTCCACAACCTCCATCCACACTGACTTTGTGCTGAAACAGGGTTAAAGATAGGATAACTATTCGGCCATGCAACGAATGTCTTTATCCCAACATCAAGAAGTTCTAGTGGAAGAATAGTTACAACAAATGTCTTTCGAGGCAAGTACGACCGCATTTAATGTAAAGCATCTTTGAAGGGCGGTTTAAGGCAGTTGGGCCCACAAAAATGATGACGTAATATGTGGTATGCGACGACACCGCATTCGTGCAGTGTCACCTGCTTTGGATTTTGGGACCTCGGTAGTCGGTATGTTTTGTTGCCACGTCGGTCAGAAGAAAGTAGTCTCGGTCGTCTGCCAAGATGGATCCTCCTTTGGTGAGTGAACCAGGATAATCCGGTCCACACCGAGTAACCATAAGTTGGGCGTATTTGAACTTTTAAACTTGATCTTCTATTTAATTAAGTAAACCACAACTGGGACCATGTTGGTAGTTAACAGGCTCTTGCACAACAACACGAACATTAAAGTCAATAGGCTTTATCTAACAGTTTTCTCTTCCAAACGACACTTTGTCTTATGATGTGGCACCTTTTCATTGGCTGGAAAACACCTATATATATGTATATGTATATATATACACACAGAGACACACACACATATAGTTATT